ACTTATAGATTAAAAAAATATTAACTTCAACATTTTTAAGTAAATATTTCGATATATTTAATTTTCTAAAATAAAATATTAATAAAAAATTTACTATTAAAAAAAAGGTAAAAGTGCATGGGACATTCCGTGCACGTATATGTTTTTTTGTAATTATAATAATTTTTTAATAACATTTAATTTTAAAAGTTCTTATAGATATGATAAAGAAGCAGTGGATTCCATCATTGCCAATACGGAGGCTGTTATACTACACGGTGTCATTAGAACAAAAAATTTTAGAAGATGATGATCTTGTGTGGATACTCAGTACAAGGAACATCTTTCAGCTCAGAGCAACTTTCCTGTGTTACAAGGGTAATTATGGGAAATTCTTAGATGAGGTTCAGCTTTTTATTACCAATATTTGATAATTCTCTCTTTCTCTAAGTTTTGTTTTGATCTTGGCTACGCGAAAAATTCTCTTTACAGGACATTAGGGCTTGTGGTAAAGGCATTTTGGAATCAATTTTGAAAGTAGTGGTTTGGTGCATAGACTCCCTAGAAAGACACTTCGTGGAGGTAATTACAAATTTTTAACTTCTGTTGATGTTCTTATTACATTTGGTTTGTAAATCGACATAAGGCAGTGCCCTTTTGCTTTCTTGCAAAATATTAACAATTTTTTGCATTTCCAATCTCATCTTGAAACAATCTTTGGCCTAAGGCCACATTCTTTCACCAATTCGAGATCATCATCCCAATCCTTGTTTAACATGGATACGGCAAATCTAAATGATTGATACATTTAGTCAAGGGCGTTTGTGGTTCTCCCTCGTATTTAAATTTTTTATAGTTATTTTTAGTCAACTGACATTGATTGCATTGGACATCCCAAATTGTAAGAACAAGGGCAGACACAGACTTTTAATGTTGTGGGGTTAAAATTTTAAATATAACTTTTTAAAAAACAACATAATATTAATGAAAATAAGTTAATACGTATTTTGATATTTTGAAAACGTTGTATAATTACATTATTATATTAAATAAATTTCGCTACTTGTATAGTTTTGTTTACCATTTCGTTGACAAATGTTGAACTAACAGTGAGTAAAAAATAAATTGAATATAGAAAGTAAATGAATTGAAATAAAATTCAAGTTTAATCCAGGAAGTAAATGAAATTAAAATTTAAAGCAAATGTAATTCGAAAGTAATTTAAATTACATTTAATCCGTAACTACCTTAAATTTTTTTACATCATATTTTATGTAAGACTTTCGAATGAAATGATATAAATTATATTGAAAAATTTATTGTGCAAAAATAATAAGCGCTAATGAAATAATTGAATTTTTTTAAAAGAAAAGATAAGTTAGACGTCTTTTTTTGAGACGTACGTACATTTGATGCATATTTAACTATTTTCGATATCTGTTTGGACCATTTGATATGATAACAGTGTAGTTTTCGAAACGATCTTCTGCACGACATATACGATCCGTATATTCGGACAGCACATGATTGTAGAAGAATTTTTAAAGTTAGGATATTATTAAAATTCTTAAAATACTAGTTTCAAACGGCCTACTTTGACATGTTGTAACTTTTGCTATAGTTGACCACTTCGCACGCCATTAATGAGTGAAAAATTAGGCCATGAGCACAATGAAATGCTATTAAGAATGCAATATTTTAATTTCATTTGACATCTCGTAACAAGTGCATCAAAGTAGATTGTAAATGGATAAAAAAAGGGCAAAATTTTGTGGGCTCATTTGACCCCACCTGACCCCATGTGGGTCTGCCCCTGTGTAAGAGCTTCACTTGCTGGGCTAGGGACTGATGAGGATTCACCGGCTAGAGCCATTGTAACTCAAGCTGACGTCGATAAGATGAAAGTCAAAGGAGAATATTTTAACGTGAACAAATCGAGCCTTGACAATGCTATAATTGGAGACACCTCAGGGGACTACATGGACTTCCTAATGACCTTGTTTGGAGCAAAGATCTGATTCTATCTAGCATGGCCGGTTCACATAGACTGCATTTATATCTTTTGATGAACATGTAGTCATAAGATAATAAATGATGCAAACATACCTTTATGAATTTCAAACGGCTCTCTACTATGATATGAAACTGCTGATATTTTTACGAAAGCGAACGATATCCTAATGTGATATTTAAAATGGTGGTTGTGACTAGAGAACATGTGGAGGAAATTATAGAGCTGCGATTTATTCTTTTACTTATTTACGAAAATCTAAAAATGGCGGAGACAATAATTGCCTTGCTATTTTTCAGGAAATGAATATGATGAGAGAGATGAATCTCATTTGCTCTTTAATAACTACGCATTAAGGTCACATTATTATGTTATATAAATAAGTTATTATCTATTTTCATATAAAAAATTGAGAATCATAACCTAAATTACTTTGATATTTCTAAAAATGTAATTTTTTCCCCTTGATAATGTTTCTCATGCAATATTTTCTTTCAACATTATAAACATGTTTTTTTAAGTAATGTCATACTATGGTTTGATTATCTTTTCCTATGAGTAAGATCGATTATAATTCTAATTATTTTTTTGTACTTATCTGAGTCCAGAAAATAGAAGAAAATTTTCGTAGAAGAAGTTTTAAGGTTAATTACACCCATCCATATTTTTAAAGATCCAACTTAAAAAATTGGATCCAAAGTTTGTTTGTACGAAAATCAGATTTTGATTCAAGTTTTTAATGTTAATAATATTCAATTAAATGTTAAATATTATAACACAAATTTCATCCAACCACTCCCCAAACCCTAATCAAGTTCATCTTCTCCTCTTTCTCTCACAATTGTTGGAAGCAACGATTAGAGACCACCGTAGTGGCGAGGTAGGCTGCAACGATGACGTTGTTGGGTCTAATAGCGAGGTATACCACCGTAGTGGCGAGGCAAGCTACGGTGATCTAGGGAGAATCTGTTTTTTTGGATTTTTGTGAAGGTTTGGGAAGGTGGTCATTGCACAAATTAGGCAGTGGCGAAGGCATCGCACGCGGCGGAGATGTTGCAGTTGTGGAGTCTAGATTATGCGATTGTTGCATTTGCTCCAATCGGTGCTTTTGGTTTCTCTCCCAGCGCAGCTACTTTGATTCATCGGAGAATTGTCGGTGTTGCACCACTCGTCGTTGACGATGATGCCAATGATTTTGCTTTTGATTTTGGATCGCCGTGAGATGCTAGTCATTTAACCAGAGAATCAATGATTTCCTTTTGATTTTAGATCTATGGTTTTGCTGTGGAAGTGATGATGCTAGTGATGATAATTAGGTGGAGATGGTGATGGTGGTCATTGGTGGCGATAGTGGGTGATGTAGCGGGTACCTTGTGTGTGGGTTGGTATGGGAGATGCGATTTGATTGCCGTTGCTAAAGAAGAGAATGAGTGGTTGTGGTGGTTGGTGGCGACAATGGCAAAGTGGGACGGACTATATAGTGGTTGCAGTGTTGGTAGCGATGCGATGTTGGGTTGCGGTGGTAGTTTTATAGATGGTGGAACGGGCATTGGTTTGGTTTTTGTACGTTGGAGGGGCAATGGTGGCGATGGTTTGTTGGTGGAGGTGGTGGTCGATTTTGTTGGTGGTTGGGTGATGTTGCAACTGTTTTGTTTGTGGTTTTATGAGGTCTGGTGGTGGTAATGGTGATGGTGGCAGTCCTGGTGATGGTGATGGGTGTGATGAAATGAGGTTGGATGCTTGTGAGTTGTGACCAATTATTTGGTTGATTATGACCAGTAATTGATTAATTTGTAATATGTGATTTAAAAATTGTGACCGTAACTCACAATTAATTAAGTTGTGATTGAAAATTTAATAGTGACCAATTAATCTAATAATTTGAAATGAATAAATGAGTTGTGATCAATTAAAGTTTTGATTTTGTGACCATTGAATAATTCTGACATATAAAATTTTTGATTTGTGACCGAGAAATAAATTGCGGTCAATAATTTGATAAGTTGTGACTGAAAATTAATTTGTAACCAGTTAATTCATAAATTGTGACCAAATTGCAAAGAATTGTGATTTTAATATATCTAATTAATAAAATATATGTTTAATAAATTAATTCCCTACAATATATAAAAGAGCAAACTTGTGTTACTGTTCATATTGCGTCATGCTAATGTTATTTTTTTTTTGCCAATTATCATTTTTTCCCCTCTGAGACCTGAGTGATGTTTTTTCTTCTGACATTCTTCTCCAATTCTCCAAGCTAGTGTGACAATTTACCCCGCCCCGAATGGGCCAAAAAAACCTGTCCCATAGCGGGGTGCGGGGCGAGGCGAGGCGGGGCATAAATGATTACTCCGAACCCGCCCCGTGAAACCTTTATTATTATTATTATTATTATTATTATTATTATTATTATTATTATTATTATTATTATTATTATTATTATTATTAAAATGTTAGGGTTCAGCTTGCTTCAAATAGAAGGATGTAACCTATTTTCTAGTATTATCAATTGTACAAATCTTATCAAACTTGACTATATACCATTATGCTACTTTGTCAAATTGATATTATATTGATAAAAACAAATATAAAATGATATAACATGTTCAACTGAACAAATTTGAAAATCTGTATATTGTAATAAATTAAGTATGTGGGATTACAACTTTTGTGACAATATCAAAGGAAAAAACACAAAAAATCTTGTTCATCCTAATAATCAATGTTTTGTACCAATAGCGACCATTATATTTAAGATTTGTAGTGTTTATTTTGGATATTAACTTTGTCAGCTTGAATGTTATCTGTATTTTATTGAACTCGAAATTATAAATAAATAAATAAAAAATGGGCAAGAAACGGGGCAAGCCCATTGCCCCACCCCACCCCCTTCGGGAGGGGCGGGGCGGGGCGGGGTGGGGATGGCCCGCTACGTTTCCATCACTACTCCAAGCCATCTTCCATACCTTTACTCCATTCTCCACCCAACCATCCACAGAATCGTCCACATCGTACAACACCTCGTCTTCTCTGTGCTTCTTTTTTTCCTTTCACGCGTCTCTTCTGTTTCTTGTTACTGCTGAAGGCCCGCCTCCAATTTTTGAGCCATATGTCTCTTTAGCTCCCGTCCCATATGTGAACATCTTCTCCACAAAGTGAGTTCATATTTTATGCTCTTCTGAATTTTATTCAACCTAGGTTTCCTTTGCCTCAAGAAAATTAGTAAATTTTTGGGTATTTTTCCTATATTTTTGAGATTTGTTATTTTTTTATTGAATTTTTGGGTATTTTTCCTATATTTTCGAGATCTGTATTTTTTCTATTACTATTAAAGAATTATTCTTACATTATGCAGTTTAATGGAGGTAATGTTTTGTTTTTCGGCTTCTCTCCAAGTTCAGTATAGCTTGGGGAATCTGTTCTCTTCTTCGGCTGGGTTTCAAGTGCTGTCTCTTCTCTTCCGGTAAACTTCTTGAAAGTCATCTAACTCTGAGCACAGAGAGGTAAACTTAGGGAAACAGGAGAAAATTATTTTTGAAGATTTATAATTTTTGAAACGGAATAGGACGTGCTGGTTTTATTTCAGTACTTTGTTTGAAGTTTCAATGCATTGGAATTTTTCAAATTATTTTTTGGGGGTTTGGTTAAAGGTGGGGATTGACAGTGACCTTGCCATTTGCTTACTCTGTATTTAGCTTAGTCTAATTTGAAATTTTTAGAAATTGAGTTTTTCATTACTATATTTATGCTTGAAAGCCTCTATCTGAAAATTCCTCTTCTTTTGCTCACTATTTATCCTTTTTCCCCTTAAATGGAATACCCCAAATCAAAAAACTCCAAAGCCTAAAAAACCCTAAAGAATTATTCTAAAAGTCGGGAATTATTTCCATCTCTGATCAATCTACAAATTTGATTTTATTTAGAAAAGTTGTTAATTGAAAAAGAATCGAAATTGGACTTGCAAAATTTGACTCGCGTTCACGGAGCATTAACGCATGGAACATTTGTTCCGTGCGCGCACGGAGCAACTGCTCCACGCGCACACAGAGTTGTTAGCATGGAGCAGTTGCTTTGTAAGGGGAGCCGTTGCTCCGTGTGTTACACAGAACAGCAGCTGCTTATGGTCTGGATGGATGCAGTGGTTAATAACCAAATTTATAGCAAAAATATACATTTACTTACTTTTTCTTATAATGAAAGATGAGGGTTTTAGTCGGCTACAGAGAGAGAAAATGAAAAAGGAAAGTCAGAGAGAAGAAATGTGAAGATGGATGTGTTGGTCGACTACAAGTAATTAAATGAGTGTATTATATTTTCTCATTAATTTTATGACATCAAATTGTAAAGTTACAAATAGTGTATCATGTTTCAAGTTTGTTGATAATTGTCTATTTTATTGTGGTTTTTTCTTGAACAAATAACGACTTTCTATTACTGTTAAATGATTATTGTTGAACATTTAACGTATATATTTATCTATTGTCTCTATAATATAAATATGGTTGATCTATCACACCGTTTCTTTACAATTATTGCAACTTCATTGGGCCACAACGATCGTCTAGTGAGTTCTAAAATGATCTCTTTGTTAGCATTTATTCATTGGCCAAAATATTCGTTTGGTGAATTCTAAAACTATATATAAAACAAATAATATTCCTTACGACACTTATATTTTTTTTATAGTCGATTCCGAGAACTTTTGTGCACTACTTGGGGCAAGACCTTACTGATACAGTATGTTTAATTGGTTTTAATGAAATTACCTGCAGCATACAACTCGAAAGAGTTAATGATAACATATATTTTGTTGCTGGATGGCCACAGTTTTTTGATCACCATAATTTGCAAGATGGTTATGTTATTGTTTTTGAATACAACGGAAATTCTACTTTCGATATTTCTATATTCGACCATTCATGCATAGAAGTGACGTATGAGTCTGAGGGATTTGAGGTAGAGCTTTCACTTAGTGGTAATCCTTTCGAATAACATTAGAGGTTGCTCGCGATGGTCACAGAACAATTGTGAGCTCATCTTTTACTTGAATCTCTTCTACCTTTATCTTTCTGAAATCGCACGTATGAACCATTTTCATTTTGTTTTTCTGATCTAATTCGAAATTCCGCTACATATAGATTTGTCATTCTATTTTGCAGTATGTACTTGGGGCCTTTGCTCGATTGTATCTACCAAAATTTGTCCAAATTGTTTGAATCCATGATAGTTCATATCATAATTGGTTAGTGCGAGCAAATGTAGGAACCAATGGTTATGTGTGACGTTTCAGCGTAGGTTGGGCGGACTAACTTAGAGAGAAACAGCTTCAAATAGGTGACACATGTATATTTGAACTTGTGGATGATGGAATCCCAGATGAAATCCCAATGTTCATGGTTTACAAAGTGTGTTACACTGATGGGAGTTTCACTTTTACATAAATTGTACATCCTAATTCGTAACTTTCATGTTTGCTTATTATGGAACATCTATTTTGTTCTCTTATGGATGAACACTATGTAGCCAGATCCATTTGGATTTTGGTTTCTAATTCACTTGTGTTCTTTTTGCATCAACATGACACCCAATTTGTTGATTCTGTTCATTCTGAATAGGTTGTAACAGAAGTTTGATTTAATTACATATAATTAACCTATATAATGATATCCTATATTTGGACTTCGTGCAATGCTACACGATCGTTATTTGGAGACTGACATCTTTCTAGCTAAAATTATTCCAAGTAAGTAAACAATTTTATGATTTGTGATTTTATAAATAGTATACAAATTTATTTATTCCTAGTCTTAATATTTCCACGACAATCTAAACAACAAGATTTTCTAAATTTTTATGAAAACAATTTGCCATAACTAAATGTTTGATACTTTTCTTGTTGCCCTTATTTTTATTTTTCAAAACTGTAACTTTGTGCAACTAGAGAGGTTTTCCCTCACTTAATCTTGGCTCTATTATTTATGTAACTATTATTCTATGCATTTGTACTTTAGTATGTGTGGTTTTATTCTTACACTTCTGCTTACTTAATGAAGTTGCACATTTATGCAGGTACATCTACGGAGTCAAATATTGACAATAGTGCTTAAACCTCATCCAAAGCATTTATCACTAAATTTAGAAATAACTCTTCCAAAAGCCTACCATAATTTAAAACGATCAAACATCTTCACGAAAAACTTCTCTTTTGTTTATAGCTACAAAATGAACATTATATAGCTCAAACCAACAGTGACTTTTCTATCAAAATATTTGATTGTTCTTTTAAATTATACTGTGCTTTCGGGAGACTTCTTTCTAATTTAGTGAAGATTACTTCGGAAGAAGCCCAAGCTCTTTATGTCAACACAATTTCACATTAAGGTATTCTTAACTAACATTTATTATATTACATTATTTTTCCATGGTACAATTTGCTGCTTTTGTGTTCTATTTTAGAATGGACTTCAAAAGGACAGTTTAATCGACCGTAATTACTAGTCAATACCAGGTTGCCCCACGAAATCCATTAGTTTTTTTTTTTCTTTTTTTACCTGATCATTTCTTTTTGTTAGAGTTGATTTACAAACCTATCATGTTCATTTGTGTTCATATGTTTGCTGGAGTTGAGGTTTCCTCTGTGAGAAAGTTCAATAGATAAAAATAACAGTTAGTGCACAACTTGCGTCAAAGCAAATGTATTTTCTTTGATTGATTCTCTTACTAATATTATGCAGGTATGTGAAGTGAGATGTAATCTTAATCACATTGGGTATCGCATTAATTTAATCCATGAGATGATATCCAACTTGATAAGTTATCATAGCATGATTGTTTAGATGTGTTGTAATTTTGTTTTAGCTGCATTTTTATCTCACAATAATTCCTCCTAGACATCTTTATGAATGTAGGAAGCTTTTTATGATTACAATGGACAATCTATTGGATGCAAATGCTTGAGACTACTTTCCAAAGTGTAATATTAAGTTTCATTGTTTAAGAATACCGTTGGTTATTTCTTCCATAATGGTTTCAATATAATTTTGTGTGACATGAATTTGGTGATTTACTCATAAACCTATTTAGATGTAACGGGGGAATGTGGCTTTGATTAGGTGTCATGAATTTATTATTAATTATTTAACTCAAAGTGATAAGGAAATGTGTCGCATAGAAAGTTTTCATGGATGCCTCAAAGAATTGTGATTGATTGCATGTTATTGTTCCTTATTGCATTCTAATTTGTTTGTTGAGGATTGATTAGATCAGCATTCCCTATACCTATTCGTATTTGTCTCACTTTCAATGCAAATATTATGTCCTTCGGTTATATTTAACTACCGGAGAATGTGATCAACTTCATCTTACTTTTGGCAAGCCAATTTATGTCATCAACTGAGTTGGGTTTGTTAGCGTTATATAAATATAGTTGTGAAATTTATTGATCTAAAAGCTCACATCTTATGTCAATACAATGATATATATACATAGTTCAAATCCAAGGTAGGTTGTTATTCATTAATAATATTAAAACACATCATTCAATGTACATAATTAGATGTTTTCATAATCTAAAATACATTGTCATTTTGACATCGTGTAGAAAAAAATATAATGGCAATCGTGCAATGCACAATGCACCTTTAGTTATAAATAAAATTTAAGAAAATCTGATTTTTGGAATTTGAAACATTTATTCTTAGTTTTGAAATGGATTAAACTTAACTTCTTAGTTATGAAATTTTCCCCAATTTTTTTTACCATCGAACACACATGTACAAACTCACATATAATTGATATCTATGAAAGGAATAGTTTGTCAAAGATAATTCTACTTAGAATCCTTCAAAGATATGTACGCTCAAATAAATACTATATCGTCCATTAGAGCATTACATCAAGAGACTCTTAAAAAATAAGATGTTCTCCATTTTAAACTATCAATCTTCGAAATTATGCTCTAATTTCTTAATATTCAAGACTCTTTAAATACAATATGCTTCCCATTTAGAAAGTCAATGATTCAATACTTACTCCTATAACTATTCAAACTATGTTCTATCATTGACATTAAAACAGAATGATGACAAAACAATAAATATTTATTGAAAAAAGTAAAATGAAGAGTCAAAGAAAAGAGCATTTTTGGAGTGCATTAAACTTTACCCTTTAAATTTGGAGATGATCTTTAAGATGCTATTTATAAATAAAGAGAATCCCTTGAAGTTATTTTAATATATCTATTTTAACCTTTCAAAATAGAGGAGAGTAGAAAATAATATCTGTTCTTACTTTATAGTGTTTATAATTAATAATTTATGTATTTCACTACTCTACTCCTTAAATTATTCATTTACATTTAAAACATGTTATATAAAATAGAATAATGCTATGTTGTCCTACTGAGGTTGTAACACCAGTCTAGGTGACACTTATTTAAAATATTATTTTATTGTTCTACAATGTTTATGTTATATATATATATATATATATATATATATATATATATATATATATATATATCTGTTTTTTTCCATAAAAAAGAGCTAGTTGGAGTTTATGAGAAAATTACTCTTTAAATTTAAATATACTTCTTATTATAACTCATAATCGAAATGAGTGTTACAAAGATGTAAAGAGAGAAGTCTATGTGTGAATCTATGTCAAACATTAAATGTATCGAATAAAAAATATTAGACTCTTTTCCGAAGTCATAACAAGTATTTATTTTATTTGATTTTATGATTATTTAATCATAATTGAAGAGTCTGTTTTTTTCCATAAAAAAGAGCTAGTTGGAGTTTATGAGAAAATTACTCTTTAAATTTAAATATACTTCTTATTATAACTCATAATCGAAATGAGTGTTACAAAGATGTAAAGAGAGAAGTCTATGTGTGAATCTATGTCAAACATTAAATGTATCGAATAAAAAATATTAGACTCTTTTCCGAAGTCATAACAAGTATTTATTTAATTTGATTTTATGATTATTTAATCATAATTGAAGAGGATTGCACCATGAAATTTCCTGTGGGAAAATGAAGTTGAATATCGAGAACATGACATGACATTGGGTAGCGTCTATATTTCGTCTTTGTTCGATTATACTAAGAATCAAATTTTTAATAGATTTCAAAAAAGTTGATAAAATATATGGTTAAAAGTTGATAAAATTTGTAAATCTCTAATTAAAATTAATTGTTAACTTAGATTTAAAATTTTATTTTATTTTATTATTATTATTATTTTACTAAAGCAAACAAGGAGTCCATTGGTCTTCAAGTCACTTTGGACTCCATCTGACTTTGTTCTTCAAGGACCTCCGTTTAAACAAACTTCATTCCGCAGAATATCATCCAACTTTTTCCAAAACATGTGGATATAAAAGAAGGAAAATATCGTTCTTCGTAAATCCCATCTCCCAAATATTTCTTATATTTTTTAATTTACATATTGATAAAGACATAGTTTCTTGGTACATATAATATTATTGAATTATTCCACTTGTACATCAAGAAACGTATATCAAGGTGTCCACCCCCTCACATGGAGGGGGCTCACTCCAAATAAAATATGGAGCGGGCACCGTGATTTACATCAAGTATAACCCCTTTGGGGGGGAGGGGTTTAAAATAGTGTGTTTATATATATATGAAAAATTTTTGGATTTATGTAAAAATATTTTATTGTGAGAATGTCTTGTTAAAAATGAGCGCGAGAAAAAAAAAGTTTTAATAAAAATGGTCTCTATCTCACCACTATTGAGTTGATCAACACCCTGACTCAATCCAGTTGCAATTACAATCACGTTGCATGTATATCAAGTTTGACATCATGTGAGTTGATAGATTTTTAACAACACTTTTGTCAATCAATGACCAAATTTTCTGCATATAGGAGAATGTCAAATTTGAAGTCAACAATGAATCTCAAAGAAGCATAATTCTTATTTAATTTTTTTTTCCTATTTAGAGGTAAAATAGGAGGCAAATTTAATTTTATTATTTTAAAAACATGTTTGTCTATGATTTTTTTTTCTTATTTAGAGATAAAATAATATTACTTATTTCAAGCCGACACAATTCTAGCATAGCAAACTGATAATGAAATGAATGGAACTCGCTATCGGGCTCAATCATGTGATCCGATTTTCTTAGCATCTTTTGCAGCAGAGCAGCAACGGAAACATTGTTTCCAAAAAATATTGCAAAAAGGGTGTTCCAACTTTTCTTGACACGATGCGTACATACTTTCCCATTTTTCGCGCAGCAACGACTGCAAATATGACGAGTTACAGGTAGAGGAGTTATACGAGGGGACAGCTTAGCTTTATGATCAGGAATCTTGCCTGTATTTGCATTCACTTTATTTTTCTCTACTGTTGCTCCAGCTGCATGAACATGGGGAAAAATTGTTGGAAAAAAAAAACTGAGTTATGGGCCGACTTTGGCACGAGTTTTGAGTGGGACCCGATTGTTCAATTTGGAAGATGAAAGTTGATTTGTGTTCTCCTCCGTGAGTACATCGAAATCATATACTTACTTGCCAAAGATGATGCTCGGGTGAATGAGAAATTGAGGCTCAAAGTGTGCCACTCAAAAGGGAGTTTATGTGGGAAAAATGAATTTGTCCCACATAAGAAAAAGATGAGAAACTCCAAAGGTCATTGCCATTAATGGTAGCCTAGCCTATAAATAGTGGCTCATTTTCTTCATTTCAATACACAAAAGCAAAAGTTTTCAAGTTTAGAATACACAAGAAATTCATTTGCATAGAGTTCTGTCTTTTTTGCATTTCTGTCTTGGTGGTGGTGTAGTTCATGCACTAGTTCAGTTCGTCGGAGTGGTTTCTGCGATGCTCGGAAGTTACTGGTTTTACCGTTGTATCCTGAAAAACGGACGCTCATTTTAAACCTCAAGCATGGACGGTGAGAGGGCGAATCTGTTTTAAGGAAACTGTGTGTAACACAGGCCTCGGTTTGAGATTTCATTTCCTACAATTTCAATTATTCGTTCTATTATTTATTGTGGTAAATTCAATAGTTGATTTGTTGTTCATTCTGTTATTATCCAATTAGTTGTATGACTGTAACTTGCTGTTATATATCATCTTACTGGATAAAAGGCATATATGGTATTGAAATCGAGAATACCGGATTCCTCATTTTTCATAAACTTACCGGATTTCAGAAAAGTTCGGTTGACCGAACTGGTGAAACTTGGGATTTTCCCTACAAGCTTAAAACATATTTTCAGAAAGGAAAAATTGGTTTCCTATATTGATTATTTCTGAACTGATTAGTTTCTTATATTTGTTATATTGTGGAAACTAATTTGTTGTTTGGTTCTTTCAGAAGACGAAATGGCAACAGGTTCCACCAACATAGATTCCAACATGGATGTGTCCCAAGCTGTAGGTACCCAAACTCAGGCTGTGGGTTCTACTATGGGTGTAGGGCCTAGTTTGGCTATGGGTGCAGCTATGGCTGCAGGGCCTAGCTCTTCTATGGCTCAAACTGTGGCTCAAGTGTCAAGTCGTGTTGTAAGCCAACATGTGGCTAATGTTCCGGCTAATGTACCGGTTAACCATGGGGAAAAGCCGGAGAAATTCAATGGCTTGAATTTCAAGAGGTGGCAGTAGAAAATGCTATTTTATCTGACCACCTTGAATCTTGTGAGATTCTTGATTGAAAGTGCTCCAAAACTCTAAGAGGGTGAAGCGGATGTTCAAGCAATCAGTACTGTTGATGCTTGGAACAACTCAGACTTCTTAGGCTGGAATTACATCATGAACAGTTTGGCAGATTCGCTATACAACATGTATAGCACCATGAAAACTGCTAAGGAGTTGTGGGAGTCTTTGGACCGAAATATAAGACTGAGGATGTCGGGGCTAAGAAATTTATCGTTGGCCGATTCTTGGACTATAAGATGGTGGATTGCAAAATTGTAATCAGTCAAGT